TTCTGTTCCTGTTGCACGAGATGACTGGGTGGGACATTGCCCTACGTGGAGGTTCAAGCTAATGGAGTCACGATAGACTGTTTTGGTTGACACAGGGTCTCAAGTTACGCTATTCTCGGAGAGCCTGGCCCAGGAGTTGTTCGCAGATCATCGGCTCCAAGCAACTGAAGCTTCCAGGCTGACCCTACGGGGGCTAATGGTTTTGGACATTCCCCTACACAGGGTACATCGTGGTAGACTTTCTTGTCCAAGGGTCCCCGTCCAACAAAAAAGGGGTAGTTATTGTCCGAGATCATTGCTTGCGGAAATCATCGAGCACTTTTAGGGATGAACGTTATACTGGATTGCTGGGAAGAATTGTTTCGGGGGCCGCCGGCTCGGATGTCTCCGTCACCGGCAAACAGGACTGGGACCGAATTTCTGGCCGATTGTAAAAGAGTGCACGCAGCTAATCACATAGAAGAGAGGGAAGACATCGGCGAGTTGCCTGTAGTATGCTCTGTCCATCCCAGCTCAGAGTGGAGACCGTTCTTTGGTTCCGAGTACCCGCAAGACCCCGTGGGTCAGGCACCTGTGTCCTGGTAGAGCCTCACGAAGATTGTCAGCCAGTTGAAGTGGCTCACGGACTTGGCGGTTGTCCATCGGGGGCGAGTCTCAGTAAAAGTACGGAACACAAATCCTTACCCAGTGCCTCCTTCGTCGACATTCAACGTCTGGCCCGAGTTTCCTCGGTACGTCCTGCCCAGGTGCACGAGCACCAAGCTGTCTGCTTCAGACAGGTGAGCCCTGCGGTGGTGGAAGTGCCGTCCGCCCTGTTGAGTAGAACTGGGTTCGGTTGGAGGAGGGATGCCGGCCCATCTGATGGGAGAGTCCCTGAAGGGTGAGAATCTGGAAAGAGGAGCAAGTGGTACAGCTTCAGGAGCTTTTGAGGAAGTGGCAACATGTGTTTTTCAAAACATGAAGAGGACTATGGCTGCACAGGGTGGTGAAGCATCAAATACCCACTGGTGAGGCGACGCCTAGTCGAGAGAGCTAGTGGTACCGTCCGGTGCCCCCCACTCTTTATACCGAGGTCCGCACCCTGTTGAAAGGTATGCTGGAGGGAGGAATCATCCGAGAAAGCAGTAGTCCTTGGGCTGCCGCCCATCGTTCTGGTGCAGAAGAAGACGGGAGCCTGGAGGTTTGCGTTCGACTATCGCAAACTTAACAGTGTAACGAAGAAAGATGCATTCCCGTTGCCACGGATTGAAGACTCACTCACCAGTCTTACCCAAGCGGCATGGTACTCGACATTGGACCTGGCAAGTGGATACTGGCAGGTGCAGGTGGATGACCGGGATAGGGAGAAGACAGCTTTCACCACCCCGTTTGGGTTATTTGAAATGGGACCGTATGCCGTTCGGTCTGTGCAACGCTCCTGCGACTTTCCAACGCCTGATGCAGCGCTGCCTAGGAGGACAATTAGTCGACTCAACGCTGGTCTACCTAGACGATGTGATCGTTCTTCTCCCTGATTTCCACACTCACCTGCATCATCTGGAAGGAGTTTTCAGGGCCATGGAGAAATATGGGCTGAAGCTTAGGCCGGAAAAATGCCAGTTACTGCGGAAAGAGGTGCAGTTCTTGGGACATCGCGTCAGTGCTGTAGGGATCTCCCCTGACCCAGAGAAGGTGGCGGCGGTCCAAGGATGGGAGCCACCCCGGACAGTAAGACAGGTGCGGTCGTTCCTGGGCTTTGTGGGATATTATCGTCGCTTTATAAAGGGATTCTCTGGGCTTGCTAAGCCACTGAACCAACTCTTGGCTGGCACTGGACGTGGCCCCGTGGTAAAGGCTCCCCCTCAGTACACTGGGATTCCACCTGTGAGACCGCTTTCCAGAACCTTAAACAGGAACTCCTGAAGGCCCCAATCTTAGCCTATGCAGATTTCACCCAGCCGTTTCTCCTGTACACTGACGCCAGCAATGCAGGATTGGGGGCCGTGCTGGCCCAAGAGCATCAAGGAGTGGGAGAGAGTGATAGCTTACGCAAGTCGAAGTTTACATCCCGCCGAACGAAACGCTGCAAAACTATAGCTCCTTTAAAATCGAACTACTGGCGATGAAGTGGGCCATGACGGAGAAGTTTAAAGACTACTTGTGGGGAGCCAAGGTAACGGTGATTACAGACAACAATCCCTTAGTACACTTGCAATCCGCTAAATTGGGGGCAGTGGAGCAGCGCTGGGTGGCACAGCTAGCAAATTATGATTACCAGCTAAAATACCGTCCCGGCAGAGAGCACGTAAATGCAGATGCCCTGTCCAGACTCCCAGCCACCCAGAGGGACGATCAAGCACCCCTCGGTGCCCTTGTACCGAAGATGAGCTGCTGGTGGCCGTGGTGGAAGCTCCCGGGGCCCCGGAGTCTGTTCCATCTAGTTGGGGGTGACCCCGGACGGTGGAGAGAGCTGCAGCAGAGAGATGCAGATTTGGGTCAGCTCCTGTTGTACCTCCGACAGGGAACATTGCCGAGGGCAGAGGAAAGACGGTCTCAGACGGTGGGGGTACGACAGCTTTTGAGACAGTGGGAGAGGCTGCAACTCGAGAAGGAGTAATTTGTCGTTCAAGACGGAGATCCCCGCACACAGGAGACTGTACACCAAGTTGTTGTACCAGAGGGCCAAGTTTCGGAGCTGTTGAATGCCTATCACACCCATACTGGTCATCAGGGCCAAGAGAGGACACTGTCCCTGCTGAGGAGGTATTTCCACTGGCCTAGGATGAAAAGAAAGTTGAGGAATTTGTTCAGAGCTGCCCACGGTGTACCTTACCTTGTTCAAACGCAGGAAGGAGGTCCGAGCCCCATTGGTCCCCCTGCGACCGAAAGCACCTCTGCATATCGTAGGGATAGATTTCCTGACTCTGGGTCGACCAACAGACCGATTCCAGAATATTCTGGTCATGACGGACCTATTTACTAAATATGCCTGGGCCGTCCCCACCGTCGATCAAACGGCAGTTACCACAGCCAACGCCCTTTGGAGAGCAGTGATACAACTTTTGGCTGCCCAGAAACCCTACACTCGGACCAAGGTTCAAATTTCGAGTCCCGGGTCATCCAAGAGCTGAGCCGCCTCTATGGGTGCCGAAAGACCCATACGACCTCATACCACCCTCAGGGTAACGGAGGGTGCGAAAGATTCAACCAGACCTTGCTGGGGTGCTGGGGACCCTAGAGAGTGAGCAACAGGGCCAATGGGCCGAGAGTCTTCCCTCGCTGTTACAAGCATACAACAACAGTGTGCACAGTGTCACCGGTTATGCTCCTTCCTACCTTATGTTTGGGCGCCACCTCCGCTTGCCTGTGGACTTGCTCATGGGGACCGAGGCTGTGGAAAGAGGGTATAGTACCACTGACTGGGTAAATCGGCACCACCACCAACTGCTCAATGCCTACCGACGAGTCTCAGACCATCTGAGTACAGCAGCCGCCAAGAATAAGAGACTATACGACCGGACTGCCCGAGAGGCCCCTTTGTTACCTGGGGGAGCGAGTGCTGGTATGGGACAACCGGCGCCCAGGGAAAGGGAAGCTCAGTGCCCGCTGGGAGTCGACGCCATATGTGGTGGAACAACGACAAGGGCCTGATGCCCCCGTCTACTCTGTACGGCCCGAAGGGAAGCCCGGACCAATACGGGTGCTCCATCGAAACCTGCTCCGTCCCTGCCCGAACTACCCGCAACTAGCGGCTGAGGCTCCAAGTGCACCACCCGCCTTAGAGGCACCTATGATAGGGTGGGCTGTGGTCCCGAGGACCCTGAGGTTGAAGCCAGAGCGGCTCTGCCCTCGCCACCCCGACGATCTCAACGGAACACCGAGGACAACCACCTGAGAGGTACGGCGAATGGAATTGAGGGACGCCCGTTCCAGGGACTGGAACCGATTGGCAAGGGGGGATGTCACGGGTGACAAAATCGCTCAGTAAACGGAACCTTCTTGAGAGTCCTGAGTTTCCTAGGGGAACGTATTGGGTGCAACACTCCACTACGGTTCCGGGTGTGATGGAAACATGCCCGTACTGATTAGCGCTAATGCATTGCAGGTGTGAGAGAGAGAGGAGCGGCGCTCACACAGGCTTCCTGTTTCATAAGCCACAATATAAAAGGAGCATTTAGAGAGTGTTTTGCAGCGCGGTTGGGGGTGTACAGTGTGTCAAGATTCCAAAGGGTTGACTGGGCAGTGCATACAGTGGCTTCCTCTGGGAGTCGTTGGATGGAGGCGCCCATTCGAGTTTGCTGGGTCAGATTGATCGTTTGTGTGGAAGACTGCTGGGCCGAGCTAGGGCTGGATCTGTGCTGTGGAAGGAGAGAGGAAAGATAAGTGAATTGTTTTCATCTTATGAACATTTGAACCACTTGAAGAGGATACAGTGAATGTGGATCTGACTGTTGGAGGAGCTATGTGTTTCAGAGTGTGATGAGGAGGAATTAAAAGTGAAAACCCTGTAAACGAGCGCAACGGCCGGAGTGGGGCCTCTGTCCAACCCTATCGTGTGAGTGAATTGCAGTGCTTTTGCCTTATTGATACACATTGATTTATTGCTGTGGAATTGAAGTGAACACAAGTTGCTGTGTCTTTGTTGAGAAGTGGCCCCCATCCATGCTTACACGTTCGTGGAAGGTTATTATATCTGCCCCCGTCAGAAGCCCAGAGTGATACAGTGAACTGAAGAGAGGAGTACTGTGAAAATGTCTTCACCTGTTCTACTTACTGTTTGAGCCCAGAAGCATACAGCATCGCTGGTAAAATAATCGTTTAAACCCACTGTCTCCCTACTGTGAACTGAGGAGAGAGTACTTTGTACTGTGAAGATCTCCACCTGTTCTACTTGCTGTTTGAGCCCAGAAGCATACAGCACCACTGGTAAAGTAATTTATGACTCACTGTCCCCTATTGTGAACTGAAGAGAGAGTACTGTGTACTGTGACTATCCTCACCTGTTCTACTTACTGTTTGAGCCCAGAAGTATACAGCAATGCTGATAAAGTAATCGTTTAACCCACTGTCGCCCTACTGTGAACTGAGGAGAGAGTACTTGTTACTGTGAAGATCCACACCTGTTCTACTTGCTGTTTGAGCCCAGAAGCATACAGCACCACTGGTAAAGTAACCTTTATGACTCACTGTCTCCCTATTGTGAACTGAAGAGAGAGTACTGTGTACTGTGAATATCCTCACCTGTTCTACTTACTGTTTGAGCCCAGAAGTATACAGCAACGCTGATAAAGTATCGTTTAATCCACTGGCTTCATTACGTGCACCCACGAGAGTACTCTGTACTGTGAAGAATCCTTACTGCCATACTTACTGTCTGAGCCTGGAAGTCTGCAGCACCGCTGGGGGAAAAGTAAGCTTTTAATCCACTGCTTTATTATCGTGCACCAACGAGAGTACTCTGTACTGTGAAGAATCCTTACCTGCCATACTTACTGTCTGAGTCTGGAAGTCTGCAGCACCGCTGGGGGAAAGTAAGCTTTTAATCCACTGCTTTATTATCGTGCACCAACGAGAGTACTCTGTACTGTGAAGAATCCTTACCCGCCATACTTACTGTCTGAGTCTGGAAGTCTGCAGCACCGCTGGGGGAAAAGTAAGCTTTTAATCCACTGTTTTATTATCGTGCACCAACGAGAGTACTCTGTACTGTGAAGAATCCTTACCCGCCATACTTACTGTCCAAGTCTGGAAGTCTGCAGCACCGCTGGGGGAAAAGTAAGCTTTTAATCCACTGCTTTATTATCGTGCACCAACGAGAGTACTCTGTACTGTGAAGAATCCTTACCTGCCATACTTACTGTCTGAGTCTGGAAGTCTGCAGCACCGCTGGGGAACAGTAAGCTTTTAATCCACTGCTTTATTATCGTGCACCAACGAGAGTACTCTGTACTGTGAAGAATCCTTACCCGCCATACTTACTGTCTGAGTCTGGAAGTCTGCAGCACCGCTGGGGAAGAGTAAGCTTCTAATCCACTGCTTCATTACTGTGCACCAACGAGAGTACTTTGTACCGTGAAGAATCCTTACCTGACATACTAACTCTTGGGTCTGGAAGTCTGCAGCACCACTGGGGAGAAGTAAGCTTCAACCCCCCTGCTCCATCATCGTACATCGACGAGAGTCTCTTGAACTGTGAGAAACCTTTGGCTTAATAAAGATTGTTACTCCTTTGAAATTTATCTCTGTCTCCGGGTCCTCTGTTGTGTGCCTGTGGTGTCGGCTCCTCACGGTGGTGACTCAGTTAGAGGGGGGGTGGTTGGTCACCCGAGCGTTCCTCCCCTCGACCTGTGACATCTATGTGGATGTCTCAGCACAACAGTAGCAATATTGCTACAGTAGAAACAGAAGTAGAAGTAGCACAGAAAACGGTGAACATGTGAATGCATTGTTAAATTTCAAGGGGAGTTTAAGGATTGGGACAAAGCTGGAATACTCCCCCATATATCCCTGGTTGGTATATAGGAACCAGGCGAGAATGAGGTATTGGGGTGGCCGAGGGATGCTGGAAAAATGGGAAGGTGAGAGATAGCTATATATAGCCTTCCTCACATGCTCCAGAACTTTCTTAAAATAAACTTCATATAATGTAATTTTTATTTGTTTTTTATCAATAATATATAAAATTGTTTTGCCTGTGTGCTTTAAAAGAATTGGGTAAATTACCATTATACTCCTCTGTGGTGTCATCTTGAGAAGGCAGCTGGGCAGAGCGGGGCTGTTCATGTCTTATGTATGGGTGTGTGGATGTTCCATAAAGCACCAGGGACCATTCTACCAGTTTCCCTAATATAAACAACAGAGAAGGAAACATTTTACATTCTATTATAGTTGTAGTTTACATTTTGTATATATACACCATGGGTTCTATCACAGTAAAGTTTAAAGTATATTAAGATGGTAGGCACCTTGGAGTCGGCTGTTTCTGCGCGGAGATGGGGTGTCTCTGATGTCCAGGATCCAGTCTCCTGCTGGTTTTTCGCCCCAGCAGTGAGTCGTCATGAATTCCCACTTAAGGAAGCCCTCACTGGAGTGGTCATTTGGTCTTACAGGAAATAACCACAGAATAATTAAAACATTCACTCAGATAATCCTAAAGAATTAGTGAGAAAAGGTAAAGATTTACAGCTATTGTGGATTTTATTATTATAGTATTAGTATTTTATAGTATTTTATAAGAAGATAAACACACACACACACACACACACACACACACACACACACACACACACACATGTTAAGCCTGGCATGAAATAACAGTCTGATTTTCTTTAAATGGAATAATGTAAAATGTTATGTAAAATTAAACGTTCCTTAAATGCCTTATGATCAAGATCAGCCACCATTTTTCAGTCCCTAGCAGCTTCCAGTTGTCCTGGTCGAGAACTGGTTTTAACACCTTTTCTTGGTGATTGCTCGCCTGGGCGAAGGAATATTGTCTTCTGTGTGTAATGTTTTGCTAGAACAAGTGGCAACTTATAGGTCATGTTATGCTTGCCTTCCAATGCTAAACCCAAACATCACAGTATTTGTACTTACACCTTACATCCTGTCAGAATCTGCCTTATTAATGTGGCAGGTGATGAACACAAAGGACAAGAGGGATCTTCTCCTACCCGGAGGTTTAGGTTCTGTGGTGATGCCAGAACATCACATGTTGACATAATAAGGAAACTGATCCTACTCTCTTCCATTGACCAAAGGTCTTGCCAGCCCATCTTGCGTTGTTCCACACTCTCCCATCTCATCCACTCTCCCTGCTTGGCCTGGGAAATGGCCTTTATACACTCCTCTCCTCTCCTCCTGCTTTCGCACCTTGTTGATTACCAGCTTCCTCCTTTGAGCTGGGCCTGCCTTGTGCCATTTAGGAGGAGCTAAACTGAGCCCCAAACCCCCTCTTGCATGCTGCACCTGTCCCACGATATCACCAATTTGAAGGGCAGCCTTTGCCTCTACCACAGATTTCTTACAAATTTACCATGATATTTCTAAAATTGATGTATAGTGATAGCCTGGGTTTCCCCATACTGCCTTTGCGCAGCATGATTTTATTCACACTGCTAGGAAGTCTGGATACCATGGACCAAATTTTCGCCTCAGCGAGGGGACCAATCACAGAACGGGGAGGGAGAACCAAGACGATGAGGATGTCTATGCGACATACCCCGAAGCAGTTTGTTTATATCTATGGATCAAACATGGCAGAAGCGAAGTTACCTTTCAATGCAGCCTTAGATATTGTTCTGAGTAGTTTAGAACGCAAATAAATCTCTAACCCATTGTCTACTTGTATAATTTCTTTCGCTCTACATACGTCATCTGGTATAATTGAAACGATTGGCTGTGAGCTACGTACAGGCGCATTTGATAGACATTCGTAGCACTCAATAAATGGCTCTGGGCATTCGTAAACCATGCCTCAAATATGAGAAAATGAACATGTGTTTCCCAGAACACATCTCAATGTCAATGACATGTAGTCTGACTTTAGCCATGCTTGTCGTGATGGGATAATCAAGGAGTAGGATTGGCAACATAGGGGTAAACCTATGTTGCTTTAGTCCAGTGTTTATGTTGAAATATTGTTAACAATTTAAGATTTATTTGTATGTTTACATTATAAAAATCAGTAATGATTTTAGAGCATATTGAATATTGGCATATAATTACACTAAAAAGCCAGCTAAAAAGTATAAACTATCAGTCAGATAGCAGAAGCCATGTAGAAGATTGTGTTCAACAGGTTTTAATAATAGTGATTATTTAGAAGCCTCAGAAATGTATACATCAAATATGATTAAATTAGGTTTTATAGTATTAATTATCTATTTCAATAAATCATGCTTTTATTTTCATTTCAGTCCATCTGAGCAGGCTCAGTATATTTGTACCTGTTAGAAAGAAGCTGAGATCTGGTTCCAGAGGGTGATGTCAGTGTGATTGACAGTTCTCCCCGGTGAGGATGTGTGATTGTGACACGTACAATAACGTGCTCCAGATAAACTACCCTCTGCAGACGTTGAGAAGAGCAGCCTGAGGACTTGAACACTGACCTCAACACCCTCTCTGGACTTAGGATCCTGAGACAAATACAGAGAATCGGAGTGAATCTTCAGTCAAACAAAAATAATGATATATTTTTTAAAGTATCTAGGAGTACAATGCAAATTCAATTGGTAAAAGGTAATCATTTAATACCATGACAATATATACAGTGTGGCAAAACTTATTAGAACACGTGGCATATTTAGCCAGCAGCCATATCACCCTGTAGCCCAAGACTGGTTGCCCACTGAACCTAAGCAGGGCTGAGCCTGGTTAGTACCTGGATGGGAGACCTTCTGAGAAAGCCAGGTTGCTGCTGGAAGAGGTGTTAGTGAGGCCAGCAGGGGGTGCTCACCCTGTGGTCTGTGTGGGTCCTAATGCCCCAGTATAGTAAAGGGCATACTATACTGTCAAAGAGCACCGTCCTTCAGATGAGAAACCGAGGTCCTGACTCTCTGTGGTCATTAAAAATCCCAGGATGTCTTTTGAAAGAGTAGGGGTGTAACCCCGGCATCCTGGCCAAATTTGCCCAGTGGCCTCTGTCCATCATGGTCTCCTAATCATCCCCATATGTGCCAATTGGCTATATCACTGTCTCCTCTCCACCTGTAAGCTGGTGTGTGGTGAGCGTTCTGGCGCACTATGGCAGCCGTCGCATCATCCAGGTGGATGCTGCACACTGGTGGTGGTTGAGGAGATTCCCCTCTCTATGTAAAGCGCTTTGAGTGCTGAGAAAAGCGCTATATAAATGTAATGAATTATTATTATTATTATTTAAGAGGTTTCAATTGTTATTTTCCAAGAGGACAATGACCCTAAACATTTTTCTAAATCTTGCCGGGACTACCTGCGACGGAAAGAATCTGCTGGACAGTGAAAATGATGGACTGGACCTGTCAAAGTCCAGACCTCAACCCCATTGAGTAAATTTGGGGCGAGTTGGAAAATAAACTGGACAGATCTATTGTACTTTCAAAGGAAAGCCTTTGGCTTCAGTTAACACAGTCTCATCCCAAGACGTCATATAACTGATGCTTTTGACCATACGCCAACATTCGCCTTTTTAGGGTACCCTTTAACGTCAGTTAGGAGACGGGGTAGGTTTAGGTCTGGGGTAGGGTTAGGATTCGATAACGTCATCTAACCGACGTTTAAGAATACCCTAAAAAGGCGAATGTTGACGTATGGTCAAAAGCATCAGTTGTATGACGTCTTGGGATGAGAGTGCGCTGCTTCAGTTGCAGAAGGCATGGGATGACATTAGTGTTGAAGTTCTCAGGAAATATATTGACGCTATAGAGATACATACAAAATAGTTTGCACTAAATCTGCACGTTTCATGAACATTATAAACTTAAATCATGTTTTAAAGGCAAACAGATGTTCTCTCACGTGTTCTAATAATTTTGGCCACTGTCACACCTGCATGGTACCACCACAGTAGACAGTTTTGTAAAGACAGAACATTAGTATGAATACAGGAACTATACAGCAGTTTGGATTTCGATCGAACAGTTACCTTCCATTCTGGACTATGTTTTGCTCACATATGTGTTGAGGGGGCACCTGCTTCCAGGTCTCCGCTTCCTTCACCATGGCTTCAGCATCCATCAAGCCAAACCCATAAAGGTGACTAACTGCACAAGAGCCAATGATGAAACAATTTATTACATACTGCTATTAAGAGCACACTTCCATTCTTTTGCAACTATGAAAAGGTTAGTTCAAACAAAAATAGAATCAGATTGAAGCTCAAGCGAGAACCAATAGAGTTCATTCTATTGTGTTACGCAGCACGATTGAGCTTTCGCAAGAACCAATGAGGTTTACTCTTGTGAGTCAAGCAGGTTCGGTTGAACTTTTATTTATGTTTGGTGATCAATGTTTATATGTGAATAAAAGTGTAAATTCAATCTGTTCATCATATAAAGCGATCGTCTCTTCAGAAATTTTGACTCGATTCATTTGGATTAGTTTCCAATCTTTTAATGAACTTTTTGCATTGACAAAGTGGTAGTTGCATGGACTGTCAATGGGGGACAGAAAGCTCTTCAGAATATCTTCATTTTTATTTCAAAGATGATCGAAAGTCTTATGGGTTTGAAACAAATGAGGGTTAGTAATTTTTGGTTGAATTAACCCTTTAATACTGCTTCTCAACTCACTAAGTATGTGGGCATACTTAATATGCTGTGGAGTGTCTTCTGATAGAAGCTGTAACTACACCATACAGATATAAAAGTATCTGTCTTCATTGAAGGCCATTACAAAATACATAAAATTATAAAATTCATGTTTGCAAGCAATAATTTTTAATGTCATAGCTCAGGATGGGTTAGTTTCTGTCATCAGTCTATCATTGTTGTCATGAAGTTATTTTTGGTTCTGAGTAGTAAAATAAGTTCATGAACTAGTACTCAAACATACTTAATAATGTTCAGACAACAAAAAAATCAATATCGTTCGATCACTATTTGTGGGCATGATATCTTGTTTTTATAATGTGTGGGTTTCCGTAAATTCACTTAACAGTAAAAGTGTGCTGGTACAGTATTTCATTTTTTACGTAAAATTGAATAAATGTTGAATAATATTTAATAAGTGATTTTTAATATACAAGCTTATATTAGTCTACCATCATATCCAGCTCCATTACTCTGCCAGTCTGAGGCGCTCAGGTGACCACGACGTGAAGTTTTCACTATGATGTGCTGAACATCCCTCCAGGTCAGAGCTGGACTGAGGACGGAGAAAACAGAAATGAGTTGTTCATCACATGCTTAAAATGGATGGCAGTAAATACTTTGTCCTACAGACATGATTGGCTCAATAAAACCTGCAAGTAGAACTCAAAGCCCATGAGCAGCAATGCCAGAATTCAGCTCTGAACCAATTGAAATAGACAAAGTGTCTGAATTGAGGTGATCCAAGATAAGTGTACTCTCTCGCCATTTGACAGAACCTCAGGTTTAAAAACGTTACACTTGATTTGACCACAAAGTGCTTGTCAGATCTAACCAAAAGATGACTACATCTAACATACAGAGCACAAATAAACCAGACTTGACTGCTTACTTTGCCTCCAACGTGAGGGCGATGATTCCTGCAGCCATGGGGGCTGATGCTGAAGTGCCAGAGTGCTCATCAGTGCAACGCTGCCTCAGATCGGTTGTCACCTGAAATCACACATATGTATGGGTCCAGTAAGAAAAAACGACCAATTTCCCACGAAGCAAACAAATAGTGATTGAGTAACTCACAACGCCCAGGCTGTGGCTGTCTCCACTACTGTAGGTGGTGGACAGAGTAGAGGAGCACTCCTCCAGGTACCACGGCTTTTGTCCATTCTGAGTGGTGCTGCCTACTGAGATGGTGTAAATACTATTGGTGTAACCGTCACATGAGCAGTGGTCTTGATTCTGCCCACCATTTCCTGATGCCCACACAAAAATGGAGCCACGGCCCTTTCTGCCCTGAGAAGGAAAGGGGAATCGTGAAAATTAAATATACTAAAATGTATTTGAAATACATTTATTTTATACTAAACATATATTTTTTTAAAAAACCCATTTAAATATGTATGTACTTCATTTAAATACCCTGCAATTGTACTTTTGGCATACTGAATTCACCTTTGGCTAAGCCCCGCCCCCCTTAGTTACTGTTGCTACATCTGTCAAACTTCATCTGCGCTCTGCATGGCTTATGCTGTAACAGCTTTTCCTGCTGAAATGTTATCAAACTTTTATAAAGCAGCAAATAAAGTGTCCGATAGAAGTAGGCAAAAGGGGCTGCAATATGCGTTCGAAGGCTATATTCAAGACATACAGGTGAAACGCAAGAAACAACAAGGCATCCAAAATAGAGGCAAAAGCATAACGTTACCGGTCACAGTCAAAAAATAAACCACCGCATTTCCTACTAATCGAGACAGAGGCTGGGATTAACAAAATCAGGGAGCAACACTGTTCATGCAAAGTTGGGTAGCTCTCTATTCAATTCTATAATCGTTATTACAAAGCAAACGGACTACGTGTACTGTATAACGTTGTATTTATTAGCAGCGTGTGCTAGCGTATCAACAACCGGTATGAGAACCGAAATCATAACCTAAAACACTATAAAACGGTCTAACTAGTATAACTTCACACTCACAGTAAGATTAGAAGTAAAAAAAGATGTGCTTGTTGATCTTTGCGGGGTTTAGCTGACTGAGGACGGATACAGTTTAATCCAAACACGACACTTGTCACTGTCAGGATTTTACTTCGGTTTTGGGAAGGGAAAAAACTGACACCCCCCGCCAACCTCTCTGGGAAACGCGTATCTGTGTTGCAAATGCCCGAGGCACAACGTTTAACCCAGCCCATTCTCACTTATCTCATTTGACCATGCTTCAATATCTGACGCTTTAGGCGCCCTTTAGCGTCAGTTAGATGACGCCCTAGGATCGCGTGTACCCTACCCCCACCCCATACCTAAACCTAACCGCGTCCTCTAACTGACGCTTTCCTTTAGCGTCAGTTAGATGACGCCATAGGATCGCGTCATGTAAGTGGTCAAAGGTGACGCCTTGGGGTGAGAATGTGTTGTTTAATCATATGTTGGATAAAACTACGACAGTAATAGCCTGCCGAGACCAAAAATATGAGACGCCTGTGTGGTTGAAAGTCAATGGAGTGCAGTAAAAAACTGTCGGACCTCTGTGGGAGCTGGTTCTTGGCTGGGCTGTGATTGGTCAATCTACATTCTAGGGCGTGGTTTAGCCAAAGGTGAATTGATTTACAGTAGGAACAACTAATTTTGTACTTAATGCACTTTAGTTATCCAGAAATAGTGCCGAGGTCCAACTAAAGATACACTTAAGTAAATTTGATTTTGCTAAAATGGAAGTATACTTTAGGTACACTTTAAATATCTTGCATTTAAAGACTGATATTACAGTGATCATACTGTCCTATTAGTGATATTAAAACACAATTTAAGCTTAATATTAAGAAATGTGCATTTTGCAATAAAAAAGTACTCCAAATAAAGTTTAATATTATATAATATTATTAAATACATAATATTTTTATCAGTAAGTGTCAAGTGATATATATCAGTAAATTTGGGATTTTTATACTTTAGGATTTTTAATGCTTATTTATTTATTTTTTTCAGTTATTTTGCTTGCAACATTTAAATAGAATTTATTCACCTAAAAGAATACAAGGATATGAGGAAAAATAATAACATGAAACCTTCTGTTGAATGCTGGGTGTCAACCCTTGTACACTGATTTTATTTTTACTATAAACGAAAACTATTTCGAAAGACCTTAATGTTTACTGTTGTCTTTTTAAAATTTGATTCACATTTTCTGATGTACTAAAAAAACAAAAGAAAATGAAGAGTTCAGATGCAAAAGCCTCTAAATGCCGTTTGAAATTTTCTTCTTGAATGATGATTTTTATCAAACTTGTATATTTAAGTTCAGTAATTTCACTTAAATAACAAATAATAGGTAATCATCATTGCCATTTAAGTGAAATCACTGAACTTAAATATACAAGCTTGATAAAAATGATCATTCTAGAAGAAAATTTCAAATGGCACTTAGAGGCTTTTGCATCTGAACTCTTCAAATATAACCTAAAATAATTTATACCGTCAACAAATTTAGCCAGTATGTGTTCAGCACATCAACAGTCTGGAGTCAAATGAAAATACTATTTAAACAAAATTGCTTATTTTAATTGTTTATGGTGGAGTGTTATTTGCTTTTAGTCAATCTGAACAAAACAGGTTAAAACTAGAAAGAATGATTTTCCATTAGACCAATCTAAAAATGCACTTTAAAGTTACACCATTGCTAGTTCGAAATGGCACACTATCACAATCTTACTATTTCCGCAGTATCCATTTTCACGTTTATTGTGAATATGTAGTAGCATGCTGTATGCATGGAATATCCGGATGGCCTATATTGCCAGCATCTGCTAAATACAACTCAGGAACACTAAAATCAGTGTTTGGAATGGCATACCATACAACTCCTACTACCTTGTATTGTATGCAATGTGTATACTGTGAATAGTATGTAAATTTTCTGAATGTGTGGAATTCCCAGATTACCAACTACATTTCCTGAAGGACACTGCATTGTATACTGATGGCGTTTCATTTTCGTGAAGAGTGTGGCATGAGTGAAGTTTGGAATAGTAAATGTAAATGTGGAATAATTAAATGTAACTAAATTAACCACACAAACACACACTAACTTTGCGTATGCCACTCTCCAGAGCGAGCCTGGCGAGAGGGCCGGGGCCATCTACTGTTCTGCCATCATCATCTGGACCCCAGCTGGAGCTGTAGATATCAATATACTGCTGCCTCAGACTCAGTGACTGGGCTTCCACCATATCAGTCATATCGCCATCCAACATACGCACACCTACAGGAGGAGATTGGACAGCTTCATAGATATCAAGAGCATAGGCTATGTTTTGAAGACCACACTTCATTCTGTAAATTTGTATTATCGTACAATACATACAAACATAAACATAGATTTCTGATAACTCACCACCAATTTTTGCATTGTAGGCAACTCCGACAATGCAGAGAGAATTGTTAGCAGAGGCAGCCACCACACCAGCACATCTTGTTCCATGTCTGTAGTGAAATCACAAAGAAATCGAAAACCCTATATTTGTATGAAGCATTGTATTTTAAAATGTACTTCAAATCGGCATATACGGAGACTGGGGGAAGTGAGACAGCACTGGGGCACAGTGGAAATGGACTGACTTGTTTTCATTGGTGGCATCATAACGTGGTGTTGGATCAGGATCATTCCCGTTAACATCATAGCTGGCCCGTGGATCCTTATAAATATATAATAACACATTAATAACATCATGGCGGGGATCAAGAGGATCTAAATGCAGCCTTCTTTTTATTTACCCAAACTAACAAAGATAATCACTAGAAAATAGGCACACATGAGAAGAAAAAAAACCCCACATAATTAAATACAAGGGTAAATGAAAAATAAACAAGGCACAGGTGAACTTAATCTGTAATCATTGAAACAAAGTAGCAAATTAAAACCAAGGTACCAAAGGAAACAGAAACTAAACATGGGAAATAGAAAACAGTTGTTGGTCTTGACAATTAATCAGACATTATTTGAACAGTGAACAACTCCCACTTGACTGATTACTAGAAAATAAACCACCAGGTTTGTCAATGGATAGTGTAAATTTGCTGTTTTCCATTTATTTTTAATTATTAACATATAATACAGTATATCAGAATTGTATCAGCACCTCTATAATGACACTTTTGACCATTTTCTTACACCTTAACCTAAACATACCAAGAAACCTGTCTAACCTTGACCGCATTCTTCCTCAATGTCAGCAAAAGTGTTTTGCAATTCATAATTTAACACAATAAGTACATTGTTGATAACTTTTTCTTCTTTTAGATACGTCAGTATGTTGTAGTTAACGGCACCTAATATAAAGTGTGACCAAATTATTTGTTTCAGATCCCGTCCCGTAAGATGTGAAAGCACTTACATAGTTTTGTTTAAGATCTGGATGCTGTCTTTCTATACCATCATCCAGTATGGAGACCACAACCCCTTTCCCAGTGTAGCCCCTGCGCCAGGCGGCCTGGATGTTCATGTCAGTCAAGCAGTTGTGATCACAGTGCTAATAGAACAGTAGGAAAATATAACTTGTTTAAGTATGCATCACTATGTCTCAGGTTATCACTACAGTCCCTTAAATTGTGAAAAAGAAGTGTGCTTAATTGTACTGAATGTGCACTTGTATTGTTCTTCAAATCTTAAAAGTATAGCCCTACTTTAAAAAAAAAAAAAAAAAAAAAAAAAAAACTGTCCATGCGGATAAAAATGAGAGTACACTTTCATGACATCTTTCTTAAAGGAGAACTCTGGCGCAAAATGAACCTTTGGTCTAATAAAACATTGGTACCTAGTAGGGGTGTAACGGTACATGTATTCGTATTGAACCGTTTCGGTTCGAAGCTTCCGGTTCGGTACGCATACAAACCGAACGATTGCTTGGACCATTTTTCCTGCCGGCAAAATTCGTGCTGACGCGGCCAACACAACGTTGCGCAACATCAAATGGCAAGCGTAATGAATGCAGAACGAAACTGCGCTATAAATGTGCTTCACGGATCGTTTATCAGTTCGGACCAGCAACATCTGTGCAGCGCGAGCCGATCTCGACCAAGCGACACTGTTACTACACAGCGCTAAGAGATCCGGTAAAGAAAACATTTGAATTCGCCACTCGGGTAATAACATCGCTGCGAGATCTAGTGAGATGCATTCACATTTCTCCGTTATTAACCGCAGATCTCTATTAGATCAAACAGCGCTGTCATGGAAACCAGGAGAAACATTGTGCCGTGAATGAACTTTACGTCCACAGACCAGCAACATTCACCATGGATTTAATATAGTAACACTAACTGGAACCAGTTTGGCTGGAATGGTGAAATGCTTTCAAGTACTTCACACATCTTTTACCAGCACTTCAAAATTCAAATATTATATAAATAAATATATATTTAAATGTTATTTTTAATGTGATGACCAAAACATTATTTGTTCACCCTTCAAAGATGACCCCCCATTTATAAACCTCAAAGTTTCAAGATCTAGGAAAACTCACACTTATTTAAAAATATTTTTTCTTTAAACAAATAGGAAATTTCTCTGGCATTTCTTTCTTTTTGCTGTATCGAAAACGTACCGAACCGTGACTTTAAAACCGAGGTACGTACCGAACCGTGATTTTTGTGTACCGTTACACCCCTAGTACCTAGTAAACCATTCTCTGAGATTTGTTTTCATGATAATCGAAAGTAAAGAGTTTTATCTCTAAATATGCTAGTACTGGGGGCATTAACTAAGTAAAAAGAAATGGCTAGTTTATACCACTAACTAGGCTCAAAATAGCCCCACACTAACGCAGTAACATAATGAGGGTACATGCAAAACGAAGCATGGAGAACTTTGTAAGTGTGCAGACCAAGCATTTAATAAGAAGATACTTTATAGAGACAGTTCCCAGATAGCAAACTGACATTGAATCAACGTAGAAACATGACATCGAAACAACGTTGATCTGACATTGTTTTGTTCATCGAATTAACGTTGAACCAACGTCAGACGCGTCATTCTTTCAAAACTAACGGAAAATCAACTTGAAATCAACGCGTTGTTTCAACGTTATGAAAGCAAACCAATTTTCGGTTTTTATTTAGCTTTGAAGAATGCCGCGTCTGACGTTGGTTCAACGTTAATTCGATGAGCAAAATCAACGTTGTTTCAATGTCATGAGAGACGTTGTTTCCACGTTGATTCAATGTCAGTTTGCTGTCTGGGTTCACTTGGTGTATACAGACAGGAGCCATCTTAGATCCCTGAACGCCGTTCATTCAGAAGTTCGCTGAACTTCATACAGTTCAGCTCACTCAGCATGACGTTCATGGTTTGACTGGTCGTGACTGTTTTCCAAAGATGGCTCCTGTCTGTAAATACAAAGTGAACTGTCTTTATAAAGTATCTTCTTATTAAACGGTCTGTACACTTACAAAGTTCTCAATGCTTCGTTTTGCATGTATGGACCCTCATTATGTTACAATGTTAATATGGGGCTATTTTGAGCCTTGTTAGTGGTACAAACTAGCGATTTCTTTTTACTTAGTTAATGCCCCCAGTACTAGCATTATAGCCTACGCTAAACAGTTTTAGAGATAAAACTCTTTACATTCAATTATCATGAAAACAAACCTCAGAGAACGGTTGAATAGGTACAGATGTTTTATTAGACCAAAGGTTCATTTTGCGCCGGAGTTCTCCTTTAACACAAGAACGTCACACGGTCGAATGGCTCAATTTGAGGCATTGAAAAACACAATTAAAAAACATAACACTGGATAGATTTTTATCATTATATGATGGTTATGTACAGGCCAACACACATTTCAGTACAATCAACTTGAAAAAAGTGCATGTACCATTATATGACCACTTTAAGTCCTGATGCCTAATTGGGTCAAAACATTTTTATTTGATGTACTCTTTTTAAAACTACAGTATACAAGGGGTATTTCATTATGATGTACAATATTTCTTTGAAATGTACATATTTTCACAAATTAATATTAAATAATGCTTTTTATCTGAATATAAAATTGCTGATTGTAATGTGTTGCATACTAACAATATACCACATGTTGTCCCACTTGGCATCATTGAAGGTGATGGTTTGGGTATGGTCTATTGTGTCAGTTCTTTTTACTCTCTTCTGAACCATCTGTTGCTGGATCCACTCCACCTTCAGCATCAGAACATATTTATGATGATCTACTGCATACATAGCATGCTTCACAAACCACAGTCAATTAAATGAAATATCCATTAACAAAACATCATCTCATTTAGTTTTTGGCAAGTTTAAGGATGCATCCGTGTGGTTTGGCATACTGCTGACTTAATCTGTTTTGGTAAGTGTGTGTGTGGTGTGGTGTTTTAGGGTGGTGTAGTCTAACTTATTAACTATTCAGTGGTGTCTCTGTGACTGAAGGTATATAATCCTTGTACCTTGGTCTCCATGGTGATGAGACTGTGGTTCCCTCTGCTTTTAATAGTGGACCTTTTGATGGTTTCTCTGTGCTGGAACTGGTAATGGTCCACTAGCCTACCTATCTGCAACGGCACAAGAGGAAGAAGATTGTGTTAGCCGCTGCTCAGGTGTGACTGACAGAGATATCAATTATGTATCTATCCCTGACGTATGCCTACGAAACAACAAAAGGGTTATTCTACACCGCTGATAGACTTACCATCAGAGGCAACCTGAGCTAGCACTGCACGATTCAGCTGAGCTTAAACTCTGGCTGCTGATATCTCTTTGACACCATGTGCTTTGACGTTATGAGGTTGGCTGAAGACATACAGTACCAGATTTACCAGGAACTAAACAGCCCCGCAGTAGACAGCAGTTACACATTTCATTGACTGAGTGTGGGAAGTCAGTTTCCTTGATAACACTGAATGTGCTCAATGACACAAAGCGAAATGAACTAATCACACAGAGCAAAAAAGTAAAACAAATAGAGACTGTGGGCCAAATAAATCTCATGATGCATTGCACAACAAAACATTGGGATTCAAAACGACCTAAAAGTAATATCAAAGGAATATTCCAAGTTTAGCCCAATAATGACAGCATCTTTTTAAATATTTTTTTTTGTAATGTTTTTTGAAAGAAGTCTTTTTTTGCTCATCAAGGCTGCATTTATTTGATCAAAAATACAGTAAACACAATAATATAGTGAAATATTTGTACAATTTAAAATACATGTTTTCTGTTTTAATATATTTTCTGATTTCTAATTTATTTATGTGCCTTTCTGAATTTCCAGCAGCCATTCATTCAGTGTCACATGATCCTTCAAAAAAACATTCAAATATTGTGCTTTGGTGCTTAAAGGGTTAGCTCACCCAAAAATGAAAATTAAGTCATTAATTGCTCACCCCCATGCTGTACCAACCCCGTAAGACCTTCGTTCATCTTTTTGGAACACAAATGAAGATATTTTTGATTGAATTTGAGAGCTGTATCACTACCACATAGGCTGCCTAAGGGACTGGCTCTTGACGGCCCAGAAAGTCAATGAAGAAAATGTTTAAATATTCCCCATGTGACTACAGTGGCTCAACTATAAGTTTATCAAGCGACGAAAATACTTTTTGTGCGAAAAAACAAACAAAAATAACGACTTTATTCGACTATTCCTTTTCCAGTCCCTTAGGCAGCCTATGTGGTAGTGATACAACTCTCAAATTTAATAAAAAAATATCTTCATTTGTGTTCCGAAGATGAACGAAGGTCTTACGGGGTTGGCACAGCATGGGGTGAGTAATTAATGACTTAATTTTCATTTTTGGGTGAACTAACCCTTTAAAAAACGTTAGGCTACTTGCTATTATCAGAGTGCTGCTTAATATTTTTGTGTAAAACGTGATACATTTTTCTTATTGGATTCTTTGATGAAAAGAAAGTTCAAAAGAACAGCATTTATTTGAAATAGAAATATTTTGTAACATTAAAATGTACTTTTTCTTTACTTTACAGTTTTTGAATAGTGGTGTGTTTTACACTTATCATGGTCTGTGGGGCAAGCATACAGTCGATGCCCTAGACTTCTTTTTGTCTTTGTTTTTTTAAATCTCAGATATTCAAATAAATGAAAATTACATTTATTTACATCTCCGTGATCATCTTGTCACATTTAATTATCTCATAAATGTACTGCTGCTATAGCTACTTATTTGTGCAGTAATGGGACAAAGAAAGTGTGCCAGTTGGTTAACTAACTGAAGTAGGGTATAAGATGCCATCGAGGTTAGGAGCTCGTCTTGCATGGTTAAACACATTTATTATAGAAGAGCCAGTGACCCAAAGATATGGGCTTGGTAATAATGAAAGACTAATTTGAAAGAAAAAAAAAATAACAAGGAACTACAATTTGTTTAGTTGGTGCAAAAATATTAGTTTGTCTTTGAAGTTTTGTCTGGCAAAAACTGTACCTGGAACAACATCTTCCAATTTAAATGACAATAAGTATTGACTTGAATAGCATGAAGATTCTATAATATATTACAAAGTACCATGTTATTACCATATGTGACCATAAGTGTATCATAGTTTCACCATAGTAATTGTGTGATGAAAAGTTGCCAGTTGCAATTCAGGGATCATACAGAGAACGTAATAGCATACTGTCTTGGTTGATAAATCACAATTTTTTTAGGCCATTCAGACGTATAATAAGAATTTAAAGCAGGACACAAGAATACATACAAAGTTATAATAAATGTAATAACATCCAACATGAAACATTTAACAATAACACTTTATTTTGATGGTCCACTTAGACATTCTACTTACTAACACATTTAAGTGGCAAATCATTTTGCAGAGGACTTACCTGGCCCATATTCACAAATCCGTATTTGTCTGCAATAAGATCAGCAGCATTAGGACCTCCAGTTATTTTAACCGCCCAACGGTTTGTGTATAATCTCATCTGGACACATTGGAGTCCAATCCCAAGAAAAATTACATGTAGAAAAAATGCTGCTGGTGTCATCTTCAGATGGTTATGATCTCTGCTTCATGCAGAAATATTGGTCTGATCACACTCCTCATTGAAAAGTTCTCATTAAAAAGCGATTTGTCTACAACAGACTGGACTGTCAAAATGATTGTAAAAAAGTTGCTAAAGCACCTAGTTTGACTGTGCAAGCACTATTCCACTGCGATGGCTCCAGTGCATCTGTTGCCTGTGGCACATCATCTCCAATTACAGTCCTATCAGTTTCTACAGGTGCACTGTTTGCTCCTACAGCACACAAAAAACACTGGGAACGCTGGATTACAGGCCTAATTTACATTCATGGCATCATTATATTAAACAGTGATGGATAGCTCATAATTAGTGTGCTTCCTGAAAACATTGCTGTACATTGCATACTTATTTGTAGTTGTTTTTCATTATTTTTTCATGCATTCATTTTAGTCCATTTTACATTTATTTAATCGACTCTGATCGATCAAAAGTCAGCTTATCAGCAATAAACAGGAAAATAAAAGAATCAGTGATGCAAACCATCAAAAATTTGACAAATTCAAATTCAGCAATAAGCATACGTATACAATTTGTTATTCAGCTCAAGTCAGTTCACTGTGTGAAGTTTGCCAATTATGAAACATCTGATTCAGCTATAAAGCAGCTCTACAAAAGACAATAGTGCCGTCATACAGCTCAATTTAGTTCAAATTTGGATCTAATCCGACAGTGAATAGTGTCACGTTTGGTTATTGATTCATGTCTTTTATTTTGAAATTCTCATTCATGTTTCCTGGCCTGTGTTCAGCCCCAACAAAAAGTTTTTTAAATTGAAACGGTGGTTTGTTGAACGCCCTGTTCTGATGACGACGTAAGAGTTGCAACTATGGTGGCTGAGAAAGCCATTCTTTGTTTTCTTTTTGAAGAATATTCAGAGCCTGACGAATGGGCTCTATGCACGGCGGTATTTCCGGTGAAGGATTAAGGATGCTCGATAACTTCCGCCGATCGTAGAGTCCAATGCAATACCGAGAATTTATATTGAATTTTATACTCCATGGTTATAATAAAGAAACACAAAAACAGATAAAACAGACACCCCTCGTTGTGTTTAGGCAAGGCAAGGCAAGTTTATTTATATAGCACATTTCATACACAATGGCAATTCAAAGTGCTTTACATAGAAGAAATTAAAATAATTTAAAAAAGAAATCAGAATAATTAAAACAGTTTAGAGTAAAAACTAAGAAATAATGAAAAATAAAAATTATGATAAAAATAAAATACAGTAAATTAAAACCATTTAGAATAAAATGAAGTGCAGTAACAGTTGGACAAACAGTGGCACAGTGCTCATTCAGTAAATGCACAGCTAAACAGATGTGTTTTTTTTTAGTCTGGATTTGAATGTGACTACTGTAGGAGCACACCTGATCTCTTCTGGAAGCTGGTTCCAGCTGCGGCTGGCATAATAGCTAAAGGCAGACTCTCCATGCTTAGAGTGAACCCTTGGTATTTCTAGCTGATGTGATCCTAATGATCTGAGCGATCTGTTGGGTTTATATTCAGTGAGCATATCTGCAATATATTGAGGTCCTAACCCATTAAATGATTTATATACCAGTAATAATACTTTAAAATCAATCCTAAATGTAACTGGCAGCCAATGTAAAGACCTGAGGACTGGTGTGATATGTTCATATTTTCTAGTCCTGCTCAGAATTCTGGCAGCAGCGTTCTGTATGAGCTGCAACTGTCTTATGGTCTTTTTGGGAAGGCCAGTGAGGAGGCCATTACAGTAATCCACCCTGCTGGTGATGAAAGCATGCACAAGTTTCTCTAAGTCTTGACTGGAAACGAAGCATTTAATTCTTGAAATATTTTTCAGATGATAGTATGCTGATTTAGTTATTGCTTTGACATGACTATTGAAACTAAGGTCTGACTCTAGAGACACACCAAGATTCCTGACTTGATTTTTAGTTGTTAAACCCCTAGCGTCAAGGTATGCATTCACCTTGAGAACTTCATCTTTGTTTCCAAACGCAATAACTTCAGTTTTGTCTTTGTTTAACTGCAGAAAGTTTTGACACATCCAACCGTTTACTTCATCAATGCATTGGCACAGGGAGTCAATGGGGCTGTAGTCGTTAGACGATAGGGCTAAGTAGAGCTGTGTGTCGTCTGCGTAGCTGTGGTAAGCGATTTGGTTCTTTTTCATTATTTGGCTCATTGGGAGCATATACAGGTTGAATAGGAGTGGCGCAAGAATCGAGCCCTGAGGGACTCCGCAAGCCATGGATGTCCACTCAGACTTATGTTCTCCCATACTCACAAAATAACCTCTCCCTTCTAAGTATGACCTGAACCATTTTAGGACTATCCCAGAAAGCCCCACCCAGTTTTCCAGCCTGTCAAGAAGTATGTTGTGATCGACAGTGTCAAATGCAGCACTGAGGTCGAGTAGTATCAACACGGTACTACCAACACGGTTTATGCTTCTTTTTAAAGGGATACTCCACCGGGTTTTCATATTAAACTATGTTATTCCCTTAACTAAGTCGAGCTGATGCATACCTCTCTCGTCTCAGTGCGTGCACTCTATCTCTCTATATTGCCGCAAAACTATGTTAGCACTTAGCTTAGCCCAGTGCATTAAATATGGGCCAGAAAGAGAAGCGACCAAACACTTCCTCGTTTTCCCTATTTAAACACAGTTAGTCGATTAGTGTAACTCGACCTAGGCTGGTGACACAAAATAAAACGTTGTGTTTTTCTAAGCGTTTAAAATTGATGACCATATTGTATGGCGGAATACCATAAAAAGTGCTTTAGAGCACTTCAACTTGGCGCAATAATACCTTCACTCGTGAAAAGTCCTCTTACCGGCTCCCGCTTCCTCGCTCTCCCCCTCCCTCTTATTTCCGTCAATGCAGCCAACGTGACATGCGACAAAGCGGGAGCCGGTAAGAGGACTCTTCACGAGTGAAGGTATTATTGCGCCAAGTTGAAGTGCTCTAAAGCACTTTTTTATGATATTCCGCCATACAATATAGTCATCAATTTGAAACGCTTAGAAAAACACAACATTTTATTTTGTGTCACCAGCCTAGGTCGAGTTACACTAATCGACTAACTGTGTTTAATAGGGAAAACGAGGAAGTGTTTGGTCGCTTCTCTTTCTGGCCCATATTTAATGCACTGGGCTAAGCTAAGTGCTAACACAGTTTTGCGGCAATACAGAGCGATAGAGTGCACGCACTGAGACGAGAGAGGTATGCATCAGCTCGTCTTAGTTAAGGGAATAACATAGTTTAATATGAAAACCTGGTGGAGTATCCCTTTAAAATTATATTAAATGAACATAACTATATATAAAATTACATCTAAACGTATGTACGTTTCGTTTCAAAGACGGGAGGACAGTAAATTTTGAAGACTCTGCCATAATCCCGTTTTCCTCGGGTCTCCTCCGCTTAAATCTCCACAATCGGAAATGGACGAGCATCCTTGCGTCAATATGCGTGCATATAGCCCATTCAGTATTAAATGTGTTTAACCCTTTCACGCGTACGATCACACCGGTGTGATCAGTCTTGGCTGGTCCCTGGAGCATACGATCACACCGGTGTGATTAGAACGTTCAGTGCATCACGTCAGCAACTGCTAAATTCAAACTTGCTCTCGCACGTTGGCTTGCGCTCAGCCAGAGACAGACGCACTCAGTGCTGTCATATATCACAACTATTGAGTGTTTTCAACCACATAATGTTTATTTTAGGTTTCAGACATTTAAATATACATATGTACTAGCAAAACAATGATTTTGAGTTTGTAAAATACACACAGATGTCTATGGAAGCGGCAATAATAATCCTTTCAATTATAAGACGACACGTTTTATTCATATCAGATACACATTGTGTAAGTAGCTTAACATTTGATCCTATTCTTCTCCCAGTTTACCAGCCACTTACTATCATGTATTTCGTGAGAAGTGGAGGAATTGACGTTATAAATCCAACAGATCCGCGATTCTCTGAACTGAAAAAGAAACTAAAATGGCGCCGCCCATTGTGCATACAGCTCAACTAACGCGATCGTTATAAAGATGTCTAAACAACAAAACCCATCCACTTGCACATATTTGACAATCGGAATATCAGTGTTTCATGATATAGCTAATACATTTTTGAATATTTTTAATAAAAAAGGAAAAAATGACATAAAAGCAGATCATCCGCGCTCTTTTCTGGTTGTGCTGTGTCACGTGACAAGCAATGACGCGTCACCATGGAAACATTAAAGTGGCAAGTTCTAAATAACGGTCGCCTTGAAAAACTCACGCTGGGGGGGTCAGTTAGAATATTTTAAACTTACTGCAAAATACACTCTATGTCACAGTCACTGCCCTTGTTATCCAGAATAAAAGAGAACATCCCAATCGAGTCGATGGATTTGTGGAAAGTGTGGTTTCCAAATGAAGAGATGCAAAAGCCTCTAAATGCCATTTGAAATTTTCTTCTAAAATGACCATTTTTATCAAGCTTATATATTTAAGTTCAGTAATTTCACTTAAATGACAATTAATAGGTAATCTTTATTGCCATTTAAGTGAAATTACTGAACTTATACAAGCTTGATAAAAATGGTCATTTTAGAAGAAAATTTCAAATGCCATTTAGAGGCTTTTGCATCTGAACTCTTCAAATTATTATGATCCAAAATTTGCCTCATATTTCAGGATGAAAAGATAAACTTTTCAGGTGAAGGATACTTCGTACCTCTGAGACTGTGTTATGGTTTGTATACCAATTGTTGTGTTTTGACACACCCACCATACAGAGAAAACGTAAAAAAGAAAATGTATCTCAAACCCTGTTGCACACCATTTCCAGGAAACATGACGTTCAACCCGGAAACCGCAGTAAAACACCAGTTTGAGCTTGACCGTGCCCCTGGTTTCTTGTCATGTGACTTCCTTGTCTTATGTGTCATTTTATGATTGGTTGATCACACTGGTGAACAGTAAAGATGATCAACCAATCATAACATGACACACAAGACAAGAGAAGCACAAATCAAGATCACATGAGGGCAAGGAAGTCACATGACAAGAAACATGACTGCTATTTTAAAAAAGAAAGATATGAAA